AAATTAGCAAGAAAGGAGACGAGAGTAGTACGAACAAACTAACAGCTGCAGCAACGAGGGGAGAGCAGGGCAAAAAACTGGTCACGTATGGGTAGAGCTTTGAGCATGAGAAAACAAAAGCTTCCACAACCAGAGAGTTGTACTGGTGCTGGTTTTACTACATGTTGCTTGCCACAGCGAGGTTAATAAGTGAAGAAGGTGCGACTGAACAACCCCAGGGCACCTGTGGCACCAGTAGCATCATCTGCACCAGCGACTGCTAGTCCTTCTGCTACGGCTACTGCCGCTGCTATGCTATCACCACCACTGCTACATCTACTGAATGGTAGGAATAGTCATCGTGAAGTTGGGAGTGCGAATCTACAGCAAACGGAGAGGTCAGCTCTTCTTTGCGCAGAGTTCCGGCCGCAGCGCCCGATGGGTACCCTCTGGCCTCGAGGACTCGCTGTGAGCCGAAGAGCCTCGGTGCGGGACCAGCCCGTCTCTCCGTCGTCCGAAGTCCCAAGCATGGGGCCCGCCCTGCAGCTGCCCTGCAGGAAGAAGCCTTGCGCTGTTACGCCGCACGCTGAGCGCAGTCGTTGTATATTCCTGCTATTTCCTGCTGCTTATTGGAACATGTGCAGCAGGCTGTTTGTTGAAGTTACAGGCTGCGGATCTACGACGTCACGGGCACGGAGGCGTGGCCCAGCTCGTTGTTGTGGCTTCCGCTGAGCCCTTCTCGCTGTGTTTTGAATCCGCTCGAGCTGCAGCCCAAAACTGCAACAGGGAGGTAACCAAAGTTTGTGTACAACACAAGTGCAGGCCCTGTTACACTTTGCCCCATCAAGCTGTTTCGTGGCATCCACGAAGTGTGTACTCGGTTGGCGCCTTTCCTGAGATCCCCTGTGGGGCGCCACAGCAGCTCGACAAACTGAATGTCTGTCGTCATAGGGGGGGTCTGCCAAGGCTGGTGCGTTTTTTCTGAAGAGCATCGATGGGCATGCACATAAGGGATTTGCATTGGGGCATCACGACGGCCAGATGCCCAGCCTTGTTCCGCAATGCTCCGCATATTCTCTCCCGGCGGTCTCCGCAGTTGAGTGCTGACAACATGGAAACCCTCGAAGCCAGGATTGTTCTTGGGGTCTGTCCATGCTTGACACTGGCGCCGAGTTCCTTCCAGGTCATCTCCGGCCTAAATCGTCTTTGCCGAGCCATTGGCACCGGTGCCTTCCACGCAGGTGTAGAGGCCTGCTTGTTCGGACACGGTGCAGCTTTGAAGATTGCGATTGGGGCGTTGGGGGCATGGAGGTTTAGGCTTGGGGGTCGCCGGCTACATGTTCTTTTCGCGTGCGTGGTTTGCTAATCATCGTCTACTTTTGGAGTTTAGGGTTAGGGTTTCCTTCGAGGGGTTAGCCTTTGCCATTTAGGGATTTTAGGCTTTAACTCACATCTTCCTGGGGGGTTTAGGGTTTGAACCAACACCTCCAATTAGGGTTTGGGCTTTGCCCACCAAGATCCTTGTCTCGGGTTTGGGCTTGTTGGCTGTATGCCCAGCCAGCATCTGGGTTGTGCAGAAGTTGCATTCACGACTTAGGTTTTAGTTTTTTTGGATGTAGGGTTGTCGAGGTCAGCATGAAGGACAAAGTTCCTGTCGTATCATTCTTCTTCTCATCATTCTTATTGGAACCCCCCCAAAGAAAGAGCTCACGATCATCTCCCCATGGCCATCCTTCCACTCCCGATCGTCTCCCCATGACCCCTCCGTCTCGTGCAATCTTGGATCGTGGTTCTTGGATCCGCCATATTGACACTCAATGTGTTTTCAATGTGTTTCAATATTTGAGTGTCCCCTGCCCTTGTTGGTTTTGTTAGGAGGAAGCAGTGGATTAGTTGAAGAAGTGGCTAGAAAGAAGGAGAACGGGCATTGTAGTCACGAGCATCTTTATGATGGATGTTGTGAGTTACCGATCTTGGATGCTGTGTACAGTTCTTGATGCTGAAATCGAGAGTAAAGTGCGATGCCCGAATCCGGCTCTGACTTTGGGATGTGTTTGCTTTCGAAGCCTGGAAAGGTATATGGTGCAGAGTGGAGCTTTGGGTACACTGACGACGGAGGGAGCGGGGTTTTCAGCTGCGCCTCCGGCTTGTGTCAGTCTCACATGAACTCTGGTGCCTCTTGTGCTTGCTAAAGGCAGCCTTCAGACGACCCAGGGGTCAGCACAACTCTGATTCTGCGCTACTTGGGTGATGGGCTTGGGGTCCCTGGTGAGGCGTCAGTTTCTGCGAGAAGTCGTTCTCAAACTGCGTACACTCTCTGCTTTGGCGTGCGTACATTCCTTGCTTTGGCCAGGCGACCCGGGGGAGTGCGGCGAGCACACCTACCGGGAGGCCGAGGGTTCATTCTTCTGTACTGTAGGCCTCTGTGTTCTGATGTGAGGTGCAGCGAGGACTGAAAACTTGCACAGGAAGACGATCCCCGAGAATCCCTAATTGTCGCGATTGCAAGTGCCTGAAAATCTGCACGTGCATGAACGGGCAGGCGGTGGCCATGGGTGCCACCTGCCTGCGCGAAGAGGACTGGAAGAGTCGCGTCCCTGCCAGGTGAGAGGGGTGTGAGAACTAGGCTGACAGACGTATTTACTGGCGCCTTTGTTAGCTCTTCAGCTCCCCTCCGCAACACTTTTGAGTTGTCGTT